ACACACACACACATACACACACACTCACACACACACTCATGTACACACACACACACACATACACACACACTCACACACACACACACTCATGTACACACACACACACACACACACACACACACACACACACACGAATAACAAGTATAAAAAATTAAGATCATTTCTACCTTCTATGTACATAGCAGTATGTTGCTCCATGTAGGATATATTTATAGATATATTTATACCTTACTCAGATGTTGGTAGGTGGCACTCACCCATCCATTCACTCTTTCAATAATACAGTATCAAGTAAAATATACCTCCCCTCATATGAGAAGGAACTATTTTCCCTAGTTCATTATTTGAAAACCAAAATTAATTTCATTGTAAACACTAAAAAAGTCAAAATTGTCTTTATCCATTAATAACTCTGACATTAGGCATAGAAGGGAACTTTTGTCAAAATCAACTCCTTTCTTTACAGAACAGAAAACCTGCTATTTCCCTGAACGTATAGTTTATCATGATGCAAACAGAAAGTCTTCTATTTCCTTAGACTCATAATGTATCATAAAATAAACAGAATGAACAGTTTTAAAATTTTAAAAGTTCCAGTGAAAAGTGGGTAAAAATAAAATCAAGATGTTTGCATCCTTCATACATTTATCTCAGAATAATACAAAAAGGACATGTGAGAACAACGTGAATCTTAACAGCAAGGCAATGCTAAACTTAATGGCATGGGAAGAGGTGTATGTCAGTGTCAAGTGAGAAGAAGCCGGTCATGAGGCATAGGCACAGGTTACATAGGCATGTAAACACAAGCTCATGTTCAGTTGTAATATTCCTGTTCTCAGGGGGAAATGCTTGACTTTCACAGTTGTCACACATTAAGAATTTTTTTTAGTAAATAAGAAAAAGTATCAAAAGCAGCTTTGGGGGCTAAAGAGATGATTCAGTGGGAAAGAGCACTTGCTGTGCAGCTGGAAGATCTGAGTTCCAACCCACCATGTAAAAAGCCAGGCTTGGCTGCCTATGCCTGGAACAGCAACCTTACAGGATGGAGAGAGATCCTGGAGACAAGCTGAGCAGTCAGCTGGGCAGAGACAGTGAGCTTCGGGTTCCGTGAGAGATCGTGTCTCAGGGAACAGGGAGAGAACACTAGAGGAAAACAACAGAGACATCTTCCTCTGGCCTCTTATTCAGTGTGTGTGCATTTTACATATATACACATGCATACACACACATACACACATATAAACACACATACACACACATGCATATACATACATATAAATACAAATGCATACACATAAACACACATACATACACATACACACACATATATACACATTCACACATATATACATACATACATACACACACATACATACACACATATACACATACATACACACATATACACACACACATACACATTCACACACACACATATACACATACATACATATACACATCTACACACACACACACATATATACACATTCACACATATATACATACACATACATACACATTCACACACATGCATATATATTCACACACATGCATATACATACATACATATAAATACACACATGCATGCACATACACACATACATACACACTCACATACATACACATTCACATACACATATATATACATACACATATATGCACACACATACATACGCACATGTACACACACATGCATACACATACATACACATTTACACACACCAAAAAAAAATGAGTGGATGTTTCTTGGGTAATGTTAATTAATAATTTTTTCTTTGTACTTTTTAGTTGCAAAAAATCAGCACATGCCACTAATGCAGTCATCTTTTAAGTTTTTAAAATTGTACTTACTATTATTGTGTGAATGTATGTGTGTATGAGCACAGGTGTATGCATACCATGGTGCACAATTCTTCAAGGTGTGTGTGTGTGTGTGTGTGTGTGTGTGTGTGTGTGTGTGTGTGTGTGTGTGTGTGTGTGTGCATATAGACAATGGTGTCTGTTCTCTTTCCACCATGAGTTATGGCACTCAAACTGAGGTCACCAGGCTTGCAAATAGTAAGTGCTTTTACCCACAGAGCCATCTTGCTGACCTCAGTTACATTCTTTTTAAGGGGGGAATGAGAGAATGTGGAAAGAAAGGGGCCAATAACCCCACCCTTGCAAGGACAGTCAGAGCCCTGAGAGCGGGGAGAGCGGTGCCCTATGACTGAGTAAACCCATAACCAGTTGTTCTGTTTTGTACAGTCCTGCTTGTGTTGCTGGTGCCAAACATTTGAGGAAAAACAGTCCTTGGAGGAAAAGCAGTCCTGCTTGAAGTTCAAAGCTAATGATCACGGATATGACAACTTCCGTTCCAGCAATAAATACAGCTCATCTTGAAGGAAAGAATATTCGCTTAATCTCATTATCCTTATTTTGGACAGATATCATTAGAACAAAACTGAAACCTTTGCCAAATCAAATGGAAAACTGTTTGCAGAAAAGAATGCACAAATGTAAGAGGGGTGATTTTTAACGGTTGTAACTTTTAACACCTGATGTTTCATGAGCTGTTTATAACCTAAGAAAGCAGGGAAAGCAGATGAAGCCTCCATGGGGAAGCACTTAGATTTTTAGTCAGCACTTCAACACAGCTCTCAAAAGCTCCCAATACCGTATGCCACTTACATTTAAAAACAAGTTCACTCCGAACTTCTGTTAAGTGGTTTATCATCCGGCCATATGAATCTGAGTAAAGAAAAGTGTGAGATTGAAAAAAAAAACATTTAAAATAAACTTTCAATTACTCAATTTGAAACTTTTTTAAAAAAAATCCATTAGTAAACATTTCGTGTGTAATGTCATGCCATTTAAATTGAAAGTGTACGTGAAATGTGAAAGCAATGTGACTGACGTGCTCTTTGGGTCATCACAAAGGCCTAAATGATCGGAGGGCATATAAGAAAGAGTGGAGCCTAGATGTTTGAAGACCTTTATGCTCTTTACATTCAAACAAGAGCAAATGTTACGGAGGGGACTGAGACTTCTGAACTTCCCATTCACACGCACTAAAGAAAAACAGAACAGAACACTACCTAGGATGTTTCACGGTCCTTTCAACTATTCTTCCACAGCAGAAGCTTATTTTCCACTTGCTTAGCTTAATCATCTGTACATACTTAGCCGGAAGCACTACATGTAGGTGACTTAACAACGGGCAGGTCCCAGCACTCATAGCTTTATGACAAAGAGACGCCAGTGACCCGGTAAGAGACAGAATGTGAATTGCCCGGTGCAGTGTCCACATGGCGAAGAAGCAAGGAGCATCCTTCCAGGTGTGCTGTAGTTAAAATGGTCCACAGAACAGTATGATAAACAGTTAAAATACCATCTTTTAGAGTCATAGAAATTGGTCACTGGTACCAACTATCTTGGAATTGCATTGCCAATTTTTATGTTATTTCTGGAAGTAGCCAACAGAAAGGTGAGCTGGGTATGGTGCTCTTCTAAAATTTAGAGACCACACTGCTTTGGGGGGGGGGGGCTGCAAAGGCTCGACACTCTGAAATCGTAATCTGCTTTCAGCAAGTGTGGTAGGTTCACTCCGGATGAGCAGTGTGTGAAGAATGCCCAAGGGAAAACCAAGAGAGAGGAAATAAGGTGGGGTAGGAGGAAGCCCGTGGGGGAAAGATTCCCACTCTTAGCCCGGGCGTTCGTCAGTACTGCGTCATATCAGAGCGAAAGGTCCTGGGTCGGCTCCAGCAAACCACAGTGCAGCGTTCTCAGAGTGACCGGGGGACAAATCAAGTCCAAGAGCTTTAACTTTGTCTTAAAATATAACAGAATTTCCTCTCTTTTTTTTTTTTTAGTAACCCAGGCCATATGTTGAAAATGAGCTAAGAATGCAGTTTTCTGCCAAAATCCACTGTGACAATACAATAAACCCAAATACGACAATGAGGTCAAAAAGAAAGGACATTAATGAACTGGCATGCCACAAGGACTCTATTTGGGAGTCACCCACAGTTCTTGTTTATGGGTTCCTCCTCATTTTTTACAGATACTTTCCATCATAAAAGACACCCCAGATTTGCAGTTTTAAATTAGGAGCAGTACTTTCACAGTGTGAATGTGTTTTTAATTCCTGTGAAGTTTTAGATTGACTTTGCTCCTGTGTACCAAATTCTTGCATCCTAAAGTCCTTCTTGGTCAATGCAAACTCTTTCCCTTTAAATGTCATACTCATGAGCAACAATCATCTTGCCAAACCATGGAAATGGCATAAGAATACTATCCATACAGTATTTGCAATAAAATTGCTTTCAGTGGATTTCTGATACAAAATTTTAGCATACAGATAAAGGGTGGTAAGAAACAAACATAATCTCTGCATAACTAAAAATCAAGATGAGAAAACATGCCACCATCTAATTTTAAAGCATATTTTCTAATATTCAAGCTGCTTAAAATAGAAATGCATAAAATAGTGTTAACAAGGATGTTATAGGTCAAACGATTTGTAAGTGATTTTTAACCCGTTTTTCTGTGTTCAAATGCTTTTCAGTATCAACAATGTACAATAGCCAAAGGAACACGGCTTTCATCAAAACTTGGATTTGTTGTGTCTAACATATAATTGTAATATAGCCATGTAAAATGATTGTGTTTTGTTTGGCTGTGGTCACTTAAAGTGGCAGCTGGTGTAGTGCTAACTCCTTGTTGTGTGAACAAACCAATAAACATTCAAATCATTTGGAAGAGCAGCTTATCTTTTAGCATGTGGGCATTCAACAATTCATGCTACCTAAACGGTGAAAGGAAACAGAGACGCTGTAAATGAACATTACTTACATTAAATATAAAATTATCAAGGAATGGCAGTGAAATTAAAATGCCATGATTCTGACTTTTGTTATGTTTCATTGTACATATGTGGTCATCCTTCACAGCTGACAGTCACTGGGGATCTTTACCTTTTTTTTTTTTACCTGAAGAGCTTCTTTTGCAGGCTTCCCATCTCTGAGTCTTATTGTGTTACATTAAAGATGAAATGAGACTGAGGGTTGCTCATTGCATTCCATAAGCAGCCTTTTTAGTATTGAGTATGTGCATGGTAGAAAGAAATTATTGTAGGCTGAGGACCCCTCATCAGAAAATTTGAAGTCTGAAATACTCCAAAACCACAAATTTTTTTGAAAGTGGGAAATTCCACATTTGATCTCCTGCTATATGACATAGTCATTGTACAAATAAAACTAAAAATATTAAATGAAATGACCTAAATACAGAACAGAAAACTGCAAGTCCAAAGGACCAGATCCTAGAATCCCAAACTACTGTGTGTAGTTGGTGAGTGCTACACAGTCTTCTAAAGGATAGGTGTCTTGTTTTTGTAAAGACTGACAAATTATATGTAGAACTGTAGGCATGGCCACAGCAGGAACAGCAGAAGGTGGGTTTTGTTGTTCTCCTGGAATTGAGGGTTGAGGAAAACTTAACTCCATCGATAGTGAGATTTCCAGCCCTCACCCTTTCTAGCAGTAACTAGGAAAGATTTGGCAACAGCAATATTAGTAGCTTGTCCTCAGTTATAATGGCAAACATGGTGAAAAGAGGAAGCTAGGACCTTGGAAAAATGAAATAGGGCTAAAGGTATTGATATTTCCCAAGAGCAGTTTCTTGGTGAAATTGTGGTGAAGACCAACATTGGACTAATCAATGAAGATCAACAAGGGACAGGCAAGGTAACCCTTTGCCATTAGGAAATGCCTTAGCAGGCCTCTCACAGACCCCAATATCAAATTTGGTTTAATCATTCCCTGCCAGCATTGGAGAAATTCATCCACACAACAATTAAAAGACTTAATACCTGTTGCTAAAAACTGAACTACTCTAGATATGATCAAGGACAGATCACTTCAGCAGATACAACAAAAATTTCAGGAGAGACCAGAGAAGAAGTCTTCTGGCAATCTGCTACAAATTATCAGAGACGAAAACTAAAAATACAAATAAATGGCATTGAAATTATAGGTTGTTTTGGACATAGGCACAGAAGTAGCAGTAATTTCACCAAAATGCTGGCATCCAGATTGGTCTCTTCAAGAGGTAAATATTCAACTTCTAGGGATTGGAACTTTGTCTCAGGTAAAACAAAGTACAAGATGGGTTGAATGCATAGGACCAGAAAGACAGATAAGAAAATTAAAACCATATGTGGCTGACATAGCAATGTATTTATGGGAATGTGATTTGTTGAAGCAGTGGAAAACAGAGATTAATATTCCTCCTGTCTCAGAAACAAACTATAAAATAAAGAATACTTTGGAGAAAAATATTAAAAGGTATTATCAAGAACAGTCACAGACCCTACAGGTTGTACATAAGCAGGGCACAGCAGCTATTGGTCTTTCAAAGGTACCAACACCCTTACCTTTAATATGGTTAACTGACAAAACTGTGGGGGTGGAACAATGGCCTTTGGCATCAGCAAAATTACAAGCACTAGAACAGCTGGTACAGTAGCAGCTAAATGCTCAACATATTGAAGAGTCAACCAGTCCTTGGAATTCTCCAACATTTGTCATTAAAAATAAGTATGGAAAATGGACAATGGTAAAAAAATGAAAAGATATGAGTGCTATTAATAAGATGACCCAGCCTATGGGCTCTTTAATGCTTGGAATTCACTTGCCTTCTTTGTTACCTAAAGAATGGTCTATTATAGTGACTGATTTTTTGTATACCTTTACAAGAACAGGATAGAGAAAATTTTGCCTTCACAGTGTATACTTACAATAACGCTCGACCAGTTAGAAAATACCAGTGGAGGGTCATGCCACAAGGAATGGTAAACAGCCCTAACTTGTTTCAACATTTTGTACAAGAACCATTAGCAATAATTTGTAAACATTTTCCTCAATCTATAATTTACCATTATATGGATGATATCTTGCTGGCAGTTTCGGAAGCAGATACCTTAGATATAATTATTGTTTAATAAAGAGAATTTTCCTTGTTGGTGTTTTCAAATTGCTCCTGAAAAAAAATACAAAGAAGAGATTGTATTAATTACCTAGGATTACAAATGCTCTCATGAATCTTTGTGTCTCACTAGGGCTTTGGAATAAGCTACTCAAAACCACCCTGTACTAAGATTCTTTCGAAGTCAGTCTCCTTCGCCCCATAGTAACTCTCCCCGACTTTTTAAACATGTTGTTGTATTCAACTATTTGCTCCAAATTATTTGTTAGTTGTTTATTCTCAGACAAAAGATAGTCACAGAATTTTTTTGATTGAAGATGATTTTGATAAAGAGGCCGACAACATGTCTTTTTATCAAACATGCACAAAGAACTACAGGCAACTAAGGAACATTAAGAATGAAAGAAATAGTCTTC